CAAAGCAAACTAGTATGAACAGAAATAACCAAATGTCCATTTCCTTTTTTTTTTTGGATATACCTATTATCATGATAGTGAATGGCAAATATTAATGAATATATATATATATATATATTTCTTTTTCCCCATGTTTTTTGCCAAAAAAAAACCCCACTGCCTTCCTTATTCTCACCTGTTATAGGTGATAGGTGATATCAGGATCCTAGATGGAATGAATATCAAACTAAACAGGTGCAGCAGCTGCATCATGTTTATTTTTCTATTCAAATGAGAACTTTACAGCTCAAAATACAAAAAAAAGAACAAAAAACACATTTCCTCTTAATCAAAAATGAATAATGATTTTAAAAAATCATACAAATATATGTCATTTGAGTTAATAAGATGCAAGGTCTGATTAACAAGTTATTTCCTGCATGAATTTATTGTTCCTGTTTGAAGTTAGAAGTAACTAAAAATTCATGTTAAGGCTTCCCGTAGAATGAGCGTACTTAAGGACCCTCTATACACTGATGAAAAATGCTTTTTGGACTTTGAGAAAAATATATAGCATAAAGGAGGGTATTTTGAAATTAACTAACCCATTTTTAATATAGGGAGCGTGCCTTTTTTATCAGGAAAAATCTTCAAAGACAATGAGGTAATAATAAAGAAAAATTGCCTTTGCTTACTCAAATGGATAAAATACATGTAAATAAAGATTTCAAATACTCTATCTTGGTCTAATATAATGTTTAGAATACTTGGATTTATTTTAAATTTTGTGATACAGTTCAGATTACAATTTCTTCTATTTTTATGTTAAATGGTGGGTCAGTCTAATTACACAAATATACCCTGAAAATAGGGTGCAGTGTAGAGAGGGTCCTTAAGTGACGGCTTTCTAGCATGATTTCACATTGGTTTTGAAAACGATTTAAAAATCTTCTATGTTAAACTCATTTACAGAATATTTTTTCCCACTTTTAATTAAACATCTAAATTATTTACTCGGGTAATGATAACTTGATTTATTATATACCCAACTGTTTGTCACTCAATTTTACTGTTGAATTTACGCAATCACAAGACGATGTGATCCGACGTTCCGGATCACCACACTGTGGTTTTCTGAATCCATATCACCCCTCTCTGAAACTGATGACGTAGTACACAGATAAATGACTTTTTTATTCTCGCGCATCAAAAAGTTCCTTGACATAATGGTTTGTTTAATGGATAAAAGTTATGTAATTGATCCAAAAAGTTTTGTCTTTTATCATATTTTGCTAGTTGTTAAGGGGTATATAATAAATTTATCATAATAACAGTAACTTGATCCGAAGAGCCGTATCACGTCAAGTTGACAGGCGCAGATCTTCAGATCAAACGAGACGCGAAGTGTCTCGTTTGATCTGATGATCCGCGCCTGTCAACTTGACGTGATACGGCTCTTCGGATCAAGTTACTGTTATCATAATATATATTTATTCTTATTCTACGAGGGATGTCCGGTAAAATCGTGAACAAGTGGTCTAGATTAAAAAATAATCAACATTGCTTTCTTAAAATTTCATTAATCTTTAGTACAATTTTCGCCGATAAACATAGAAAATCTCAAAGAGTTATATACTCAAATAAACAAAATATGGACATTTCTGTTATGTCTGGTATCGCACTACGGAGCACAGATGATAAAGTCAAAATGTGAAAAGGAACGTCACGGTTCATCTTTGCTTTAAAAAGTTGGATAAACGCCAGTTAAATTTCGGCAATTTTACTGACACACACATCGAGTTTAATTTACCACTCAATAAACAGTCGAATGACCAATCTAGCACACACACATGTGACCTTATGAAAACTTCTATTAGTAAGTTAGGGGAGGTAATCTCACCTTAACTGAATTTAATTGGAAGTTTATGCGACGGTCTGAAATGAAATCGTCTTTTTTTTTTCCTAATAGCTGATTGTACAATGTATGTTTTGATTAACCAGTGGACTCAATCATGAAACCCTCCTTTAAAAAATGCCAATTCCACTTGTATTCTAAGGTTTTAATGATATTTTGATAATTATTTTACATTCTGTTATCATTTAAAGTCTCATAAGGCGTCATTACTCAATCAACATATAACTGAACTGCTTTCGGGTGGGCCGTCGAACGACGCCATTTTTCGTTCTTTGAATTTACCATTTACCCATTTAAAAGTCTCGAAAAAGTATATATAAAAAAAAAATTAAGCAAAATTCTTGAAATTTTCCAAATGACCACATAATAGAAAGGCAATTAAAATTATAATAATTTCTACCCAAACCTCATCTATTTAATACTTTTATTTCGAAATAAAACTTGAATATTCTCTGAAGAAATCCAGATTGTATTTTGGTGCGCCGTAGATCTATTCCTTGTAAACATTCAAGCATCATTTAACCTCTTTTTTTTTTTTTACCTAATATCTATTAAAAATATTAAGATGTATTTAAATATGACAAATAAACATTTCCTTAAAATTTCTATCCAGTGCGTGCATTATTTCAGAAAAAAAAAAAAAAAAGAAAAGAAAAAAACCGCGATGTCCACAATTTTACCAAACCCTCCTATACGTTTAAATTAAAATTTTTATAATTTGACATTCACTTGCATTTATACATGAGGTTAATATTGATTTTCTTCGTTACTCTTGCAATATCAAAGTGAATTTAAAACTTTCAGACTTTTGCTTGATTTTGATGAATCTGTGGTTTTAATAAATATTTTATCAATTGTAATCAGCGATATTCAGTTTAATTAAATGCCGGAGAGGAAGTCTTCCTATGTATTGTACTGATTGTTCATTTACCTTTGAAAATTGATATTCAGTTCCAGGAATATTTATCATGTTTAATAAAATATTCAATAAAATGTCCTTAAAAAAGAACATTTACAGTTTTCATGGGTTTAAGATATGAAATTAAAAATGCTATCCTAGCTGGAATAGAGTTGAAGAGGGGAAAAAAATTGGAATTCTTTCAAATGTGAACTGCATAGACGTGTATATCGTTTTATAGCACATTAAAATATTTATTTTGTATAAAAGAAAATAGTCTTTCTTTTGTCTAGTGCACTGAAATATTTTTTTATTTACCTTCTTTATCATTAACACCACTCTTTCTAAAATTTGATTTTTCTTAGAAAGTGAAAACAGTTTTTTTAGAAGCATGGTAGGTCAAACCTATTTTACTTATAACCAATTAAATCTAGATAATTTTGATACCTAGGATAAAATATATACTCGAAGAATTTGTAGTATACAGCCCTCTTTATGAATTTCTTAAAATATACACGGAACATTTATAAAAATGTCTAGGCTAGGCTATAACGCTTCAACAATGAAAGAAAAGTAGATGTGGTGGTAATATGGTTGTTTGTCAATAAATATGAGGGATATACGGTTTTGTAAATGTTTGTTAATGAGTGTTTCAAAAAAGCTAAAAGAGACAAGCAGCATTTATAGTCTATAGTGTTAAAACACCTCTAGTTTTTGATATTTAATAAACAAATTATTTTGAGTTGGTTCAAAAATCTCCATTTACTTTAAATAATATAGAAAAACATAGTAGGAAACGCTCAGACACTTTACCACACACACACACACACAAAAAAAAAAATCTAAAACCGTTTACCTCTAATTGACCTAAAGATTACGACAGTATGTTCAAAGAACACCCCATTCACCAGTATAATCTTTTAATTTCAAAATTTATGAAAATATATCGTGTATAATACTAATTTATAATTATATTACCTTGATGTGGAACATAGAAAAAGGCATAAGCGATAACTATACGCTTCTCCCTAATATAATGTTGATTCGGCGGCAAATAAACGATAAAATGGCAACCTTAGTTGAATATTTCTTTACTTCGTACAGGTATCTGTTCATTACATGTCAAACAAATAATAATATTCTTCTAATTTTATTTTGACAGCATTTCAAGAATGTCGAAATATAAATGTTTGTCAATATTACAATGACAAATCCCAAAATTATTATACCTATGATCAATTTATCCCTGTAGGCCACCGATACCGTCCTTGGATCTCTGCTGATCTTTGAACTATTCTCTAAAAAAGTGCTGTTTGTCGGTAATACACTCGTGTTTTGAAAGCCAAGATCCATTTTAGATGTATTAAATCCATTGTTATTAATCAACGTAGTGAATAGTCCTGAAAATAAGAAAAAAAGGTTTAGTTTACTAGAAAGTATTCATTCGAGTTGATTTATGAAGCTCTGTTAAAGCTTAGGCACTCTCTTTTAATTTTTTTGTCTCAAATTTTAGGGCTCAAACAGAAATACTGTACCTCTAACTGTTGTACCATTTGGACAACCATTCTGAAAATTACAGTCATGTTGTGAACATAGACATCTGTACTGACATTCTTTTCCATACAAAGGAAAGGGGCAAGAAAGATTGCATTGAGGTCCTAAATATCCATCATCACATTCTAAAAAAATGAATACTTTTAAATAAAAATGTTGTTTAATTTTTGGATCAGAATTTAAATTTGTCTCTTTTAATCGAGAGTTGGTATAACTGACAATTAAAAAAAATCATTATTGACATTCCTATTTTGTCGTACGGAGACAAAAATTACACTCAGGACATGCATTTCACCTGAGTTTTAAATACGAGGGGTGATCAAAAAGTTGGCGAAGTAACTCTATATCTACCTAACCATAGTTCAGAGCAGAATGAATTTTGGCATATATATAGTTTAAAACATGTGCTTGATGTAGCATGAGTTATGTTGTAATTGTATGTTGTAATTTGCGTCATATGTATGACTTCATGATGTAAAATTGACGTCAATATAGACGCGACTGTGACAAAAATGGATGAATCAGTCATACTTGAGCAGAGAACAATAATAAAGTTTTTTCGTAAAACTCGGAAAATCCCTCACGGAAATATACAATGATTTACATAAAGTATATGGGGATAGTGGGCTTGCAAAAAGTTCAATTAGTAAGTGGATGAAACGTTTTATTGAGGGAAGGGAGACTGTGAAAGATGATGATCGATATGGGTGCCCACTGAACGTTAGTACAGAGACAAATGTATCTCAGGTTGAACAGTTTGTGATGAAAGATAGAGGAGTTACTATTAGAGAAATAGCTGTTGATCTTAGCATGTCTTATGGAACTGTTCAGGAGATTTTAACGAGTAAGCTTAAAGTGCGGCGAGTTTGTGCAAGGTGGGTTCCTCGCCTCCTTCTGCCTGAACAAATGAAGATGCGGGTAAATGTTTGCAAGTCTTACGTCAGTAGATATGCAAAAGAAGGAATTTTTTCATGAATAGAATTATAACGTGTGATGAATCATGGGTACATTTTTATGAGCCAGAAAGTAAACAACAAAGTTCAATTTGGAAGCATTCTTCCTCTCCATCACCATTGAAAGAACGTGTAACGAGGTCTGCAGGGAAGATTATGCTCATTTTTTTCTGTGATATCAACGGAATTATTCTAAATCACATTGTACCACCTAAAACTTCAGTTACTGGAGACAACTATGCGCGGGTTATCAAATCAGATTTGATGAGAGCAGTAAAGAGAAAGCGCCCTGATCTGATACGAGCTGGATTCACTTTGCACCAGGATAACGCGCCTAACCATGAAAGTCTGGTTGTGATGGACACCATGGAAACTCTGGGTATAGAAAAACTAACTCACCCCCCTTACAGCCCAGATTTGGCAATTTGTGACTTCTGGCTATTTCCAGTTTTGAAAGATAACCTACGGGGAGAGAAATATGAGTCCCAAGAAGATCTTGGTACTGTTGTGAACAAGGCGCTAAGAAGCATGTCACGTGATGGCTTGGATGACGTGTTTCGGGCATGGGCAGACCGATGGCAAAAGTGCATAAAAGCAAGAGGGGCCTACTTTGAAAATGAGTAAACTCAAACTCCCACTTTGAATAATATCATGTAAGTTATTCAATTAGTTCGCGAACTTTTTGATCACCCCTCGTATTGATCGTCCAGAGCAGATTAAATAATGTTATTCCTCACATTGTGCTACATCATTTTTAAAGAAACATAAACTTGAAATAAAAATTTTTAAAAGTGTGTGTCAATGGAAAATTAATTTGCAAGCTAATTGTAATCTTCACGAATGCACATTTTCCCCCGTTATTTAATGTATTGTTATCGCCTGCATATTGTTATGTTCTCAAGTTAATTTGATATGCAAAAGAATGTTCTTCCTAAAAAAGAAGAAAATTTTACCGAACCACGCTAATTTCAACATTTCATGAATTCTATGTCATTTTGATATTTAATATATTTTAATATTGCTCTAAAATACATGGAAATCTGTATTAAATGTAAATGTTTCAATAATTGCTGGTTTTTAGATCAAAAAATGAAAATAAATTCGAGTCAAAGACTTAGACTAGTTTAACGAGCATAATTTTGAAAAAAAAATTCTTTACTAAACAAACTTAGTACAGATAAAAATAAAGGTATTCATTAAAACTCTGAATCTGGATTACAGTCCGTTAATAGTATAAGATCTTGAGGCTTTGGATTTTGTGATGCCTATTTCAAAATATTTTCGTGGTATGTGCTAGTCCCGGACAGAGAGCAAAATTTAAAACAAATGAGTGGGTTTAAAAATTCAATTCCAGTGTTTAAATATTGCAGTGAATAAATAAAATATATTTACTCTTATTTTCCATAAAACACTACGATATTTTTTCCGATGTTATTTTAGACACAAATTTTTAGCCAATTAAAATCTCTGCCCGGGATTAGCACATACCTTCTAAGCAAATTAGAAAGATAAGTATCCTCATTAATTTCACCAAAACTAAATAATTGTGTAATTCGGAGCTGGATACTTTATGTTATTATTACACTATGGGTTAAAAAAATTATTACCCAAACAGGTGCCTGTGGGAAAAACGTATTTATACAATGATAAATGATTAGTTCTAATAATTCTGATTTAATTATTCATCTGAAGGGTTTGAGAACTATATTTTCTTTTATTGTCAGATTATACCGCACTCATATAGTTCTGTGGATGTATTTATTTTCTTTGCAGGAAAATGCATGTATTATAATACCAGAAGTATATAAATAGCTGACCTCTCTAAGAATTTTTAGCAACTTTAATGAAACTACAAACGCTCCTTGGGACACTCTGTTATATATGTAAAGTACATTACTAATCATTTATCAACATTGGATCATTAACCATTTTAATCTTAAAATATTGTCATCTTATCATAATAACGTACTGAAATAGCTTCATTTGAATTAACGAATTTACTAGGGTATTAGAGATATTTTTTCCATACCATTATATCGGTAAGGTTATAACCACTCCCATAATTCCATTATAATCTGTAACCCATCTGAGGAACTGGATCTAACGGGAATAGTTCACTTTTGTTGGTAAAAATGATAATGTAAAAAAATCTCATGAAAAGTTCTTCTAGAATATATCGTTATTTATACCACTCAAACATCCACAAGATTTGTTTTGTATTATGTTTGTAGGTCTAAAACTTGAAATAAATTTTTTGATATAAATGATAGGACATCGATATTTCTAAAGTGCAGGTGATATAGCCTATATGACGTCATATTGTACATGTATAACATACCAACAAGTAGAATATCTGGGTGTAGCCTCAACATACCTGCATAGAAATTAATTAAATCTCACCTTGTGTTTACTTTCCGCGTACGTGGTACACACTGTATTATTATTACATCTACCCCATGTACACTTCTTATTTATTTATCTTTGTTGTTGTTGTTATTTTCCCAAGATATAATCTTGCATCTCTGGGATCTTTGTTTTTTTCTGATGTAATAAAGACATTTTTTCCCGAATTTCTGATTAACTTTGCTGACATGGCAGCCGCATCACTAGGGAAGACGTGAAAGTGTTTTCCTTTGCAAATACAACCTATGGTTAGATCGAATGACGACTGGAGTTTCAGTTCAAATATTTAGGCCCCCAACATGCCACACAACGTTGTTTAAATATATCAAGAAGAAGTAATACATTTTATTACGCTTAACTACTATAATTCAACGTTGTTTTTCTTCATCGACAAATTTCCGATATATTTTCAACGTTGATTGATTGTATATTTTTACGTCCCATTCGAGAATTTTTTACTCATATAGAGACGTCACCATACACCCGTAAAGAGCCTCAAATTTAGACTTATACTCGGCACTCAGTGCTATTGAGCAGTAAGGGCTCCTTATCGTATCAACGCCTATCGTGACACGGGGCCTCGGTTTTATGGTCTAATCAAAAGACCCGTGATTTTCAATTCTAGTGCCGGGTGCTTGGCGAAGGAATATACACTACGTATGTTTATGTCTTAGGTTTGACACGGTGCAGCGAACGAGAATAGAACACGGGCCTCCCGATCACGAAGCGAGCGTCCTACCACTAGGTTTGCGTACCGGTTTTTCAACCTCGAATGTTCGTCGATATTTCAACGTTGAAATAGAGATTAGTGCAGTATTTTGTCAAAGTTGAAAAACCAACGAAAATTCAAGGAAGAAACAACTTTTATTGTGCATCGTATTTTCAAAGTTATTGTGTGGGATTTATATTCACTGATAGTAAATGAACTTATTTTCCTTTAGATATACGTTATGAATAAATTAAGTACCGTAGATTCCTAATAATGCGCGAGAAGTTTATTACCGCATAATTTTGAGAGAAGCAACAATCGTTAAATAAAATTACTCGCTTTTATTTTCATATTGCTGAAAAGCATTTAACAATTCTTAATCAAGCATCAAATTACGGCTTCATGTTCTTGTGATTTGACGTTTAAGACTCATTTCGCTAAATTAAATGCTCGCTTAAAATGAGGAATATACAATATATTCGATAAACATTTGCTCAATACTATGCTTTATATTAACTCTATACATCTAATTCTTCAAACCGTTAACGATAGCCTAGTGGTAGCCTAGTGGTAGGGCGTTCGCTTGATGATCGGGAAGCCCGGTTTCGATTATTGTTCGCCGCGCCGCATCAAACATAAGACGCCGTAAACAAAGGTAGTGACTATTCCTTCGCCAAGCGTCCGGCACTAGAAGTGAAAGTCACGGGTCTATCGGATGACACCTTGAAAACCGAAGTCCTGTGTTACGGTAGGTGTTTGCACGATAATTAAGAACCCTTACTGCTCCATAGCCCTGAGTGCCGAGTTTAGGTCTAAATTTGAAGCCCTTCACCGATATATCGTGACGTCTCTATATCAGTGAAGAATTTTCGAATGGGACTAAAAACAACTATCATTCAATCAATAAAATTCTTCAATAAAATTGCATTTTTGATATAATGAGTTTAAAGATAAAATGTGATATCATATTTATGAAACAAAGAATATTTGATGTTTAACATAATCTTTATATAAAGAAAGGCAACTTTCTCCAATGCTTAACTGTAATTACATGTTTGCATAAAACCAATTAATATGAATATTAATCGGAAGTCTTTTGTGCATTTATGGGAAAAAATAAACTAATATCATTGTGTATTTCTTATCGTAGACAATACAAAAAAATAAGTTTAACTCATGTTTCAAAAGAATTTCAGTTTACACACTAACAATCAATCTGGTGTGCTTACATTACTATGGTGTTCTGTTTAGGCCACTCGAACATTCACACTCTCGCCCTTTAGGACGAAGATGCTAGAGTGAGAAGTTGCGAAGGAGCGAAAATGCAAAGATGCAACGGAACACCATACATTACCGGTCCACTCTGATAATTACTGATCCACTTACGAAATTAAACTTCAAGGCATTAGGTAAAAATTGGCTCTGGCTAAACTGGTTTGATTCATTGTTAAGATAATATTGTTATGCAATTTGTCTGCATAACAGAAGCTGTAACAGACGCTAGCTGTAAAGTCTATCAATAGATTTGAGATTTGATGCAAGATTTGATATATTCGTCTATTATGAAAATTACACAGGGTTGCTTTATTTTATGTACGTACAGCCACATAAGTTATACTTCACCTATAATTATTCATAATCATCATAATTACTGATACGAGTACATGTATGAATTTGTACAAGAAGCGTAAGATGAAGCTTTTTTCATAAATTAAAAGTGGACATGCATATGCTATGTTGTATTTTGTTGTTGCTATTGTATTTAATTCATGTATTTTTTTATCCTTCAAAAATATATTATAAATGCCTTTCAGAACATTTTCTCTTTTAAAAGGTTTTGATTTAGAGAAAAGAGGTCACTTTTCATTTCCTCTGTTGACTGTCACTTTTTGAGACTTTATAATGTGCATGATATTAAGAAAAAAAATGGTATCCGCTGCTTCGTTATACTTAGAAATGTCAAATGACGCGTGCTTTATGGACCCAAGATACATGTTTGAACACAATGACATCTTTTTCGATAGAAATAATTTTATTTTCTGATACATTTTGAAATTCAGTGAAGGGATCTTGGTACACTGTTTGTCAATTCAAAAATACTGAATGTGGTTCAAAACTAATTAATTCAAAGTTAAAACAACTTATAATTGTTTTGCATACTGAGTAAAGTTTGATTTATTAAAATTCTAAAAATTAATTCAATTGTGATTGCACTTAAGATTATTTTATATTGGCCTTCAAACTTTGAGGACAGTCTCAACGTGATTATGAAGGGATGCTTAAAAAAAATGAAAAGTGAAGATAATAAACACTAACCATGCTTAAAAGTCAAATAAAACAATTAAAAAAATGTGAGCAGAGCAAAGATGAACCTCTGAAAACATAGGTGGGATATGGTGTCATGGAGCAGAGAGCATCCCCTGTCGACAGGTCACAGGCGCTCCTCGTCATGATTGGTTAAACGGGACCGATCACGGCAGCCTAGTGGTAGGGCGTTTGCTTCGTGAACGGA